CTTTCTGCCTCTGCTACTGCTGAACTGCCTGCTCCAACTTCCCTCAAAGATGGATTATGATTAGAGTAAGTGAGCCAAATAAACTTTCTTCCTCGGGTTGCTTTTGGTCATGGTGTTTGTCACATCAAGGCCAGACAGCAAATAAGAGAACTTCAGATTTCTGATCATGCAAAATTGTATCAAGGATCTCTTATTTCTCAAGGTGACTTTCCTGGAATCCCTTCCTATAACATTTCTTTACTGTGTTAATAGATGTTACAAAGTCAATGTCATTCCTGCTGATCTTATAAACCAAACTGAAGTGCATCTTGGTAGTTGTTAACCTTAGGACCAGATGGATGGACACGTAGAAGTGCTCATTGGGCACGGATGACCCAGAAGACTGAGCTTAGTCTGGAAGGATCCCAACAGGCTTACAGACAAGATGCTAATCCTGACACCGACCTGGCTTCTCTGGGATTCCAGGCAAGTCTTTTGAGCTTTCGAGGCTTTGGATCTCCTTCTTAAAATGTGGATAATGAGCATTATACTCTTGCCCCACAATAATGAAGATTAACACAGATTATAGGTGATTATAGCTATGCAAGTGTTGTGTAAAAACTAACACTGTGATTATCTCCAGTAATAGTCTCCTCAAGTTCTGCCATGACTGTCCTAGACTCTTACCCATGGGACACTTCATAATGAGATCATTTGGGATTTCACTAACCAAATTTCATTGGATGCCATTCAAATTGGTTCAGAATACTAGAGAATGTTAGGAGCTGAAAGCAATTGTGTGTCTAGTCCAACCATCTCTTTTTAGGTTTTTCTGGGTTGGGGAGTCATTGGAAGTCTTGTTTGTTTGTTTGGTTGGTTAGTTGGGTTTTGAGACAAAATCTCAAGTAGCCCCAGCTTGCCTTCAACTTTCCATATAATTAAGGATGAATTTCAAGTTTTTATCTTTTTTCCTACCACTCAAGGACTAGGATTACATTGCTCCAGCTTTGTCTTTTCACAAGGGAGGAAAGGAATTCTAGACAAAGAAAAAGACATGCTGTAGGCCACTCCAAGTGAAAGAGTTGGTTTAGGAGTGAGCATGTTCTCTATGCATTGTAGAAACAGAATCCTACTTCAGCTTTAAAATTGTGTATGTGTGTGTGCATGTGAGTATGCATGTGCATGCGTGTGTGTGTGTGTGTGTGTGTGTGTGTGTGTGTGTGTGTGTGAATGTGTGAATGTGTATGTCTGAATGTGGGTATGTGCATGTGAGGTACTAATACAGGTGTGTTCCCTAGAGCTGAAGCTTCAGGCAGTTGTGAGTCATATAAACTGGGTGCTAGGACCTGAACTTAGGTTCTCTATAAGAGCAGTACATGTTTCTCACCACTGAGCAATCTCTCCAGCACCCCTGAGTCTGAACTTCTGGTCAGAGGGTACAGAACTCAACATACCTCTCTGGTTTACTGTGGTTATAGCTACTGATGGACCATTGCTCATTTCTCCCTTGGAGTCTTTTTTCATCTCCCTTAGTTTTCAAATGCCTAGCAAAATCTTCATTCTCTTAATGGCCACAGAGAGGTTTTTGAAGACCATATCATTCCTACATACATGTACACACAGACACAGACACAGACACACACACACAGACACACACACACACAACACACACACACACACACACACACACACACACACACTATTTTAAATAATTTAATGCCTCTCTCTTATCTTCAACTTAAAAACAGAAGTCCTAGAAGTAGAACATAAATTTTCAAGGGATAGTGAATTTTCTCCTGTCCTTCCAAGTTTCTTCCTAGGGATTGTACCCTACAGACTTCTAGATCTGCTTCTCCATTGGCAAGTAGTTCACTGTCTTCACTTTGAAAGTGTCTGACTCCTCCTGGGAGCCCTCTTTTTCTACTTCCTTATATGGCAAATACCTTTTCGTCACCCAGCATATAACTTATCCTCCCTGTTCCTATGCCTCAGGAATAGATGCTGCATCTTTCCAGAAATGTCTTCGTTATTATATCACAGAATACAAGTTGGAAGAGAAATTGTGGCTGGCAGAACTGACCTTTATTTCAAGTCTTGCCAATCTCAGACATCCACCAATCTGTGTCATCAATGAGCAGCAGAGCCCTAAGGGAGTATTTTTTGTGAAGCACTTGGATTGGGAGATAAAAGTCTGGGAAAGAGAAAGAAAAAGATGCATCGTTTTTTGCATGCTTGTGTGTTGTTTTACAGGACACTTAAATCACTCAGCCAAGTTATGTCATGATGCCCCCCAGGCTTCTGTCTGCTTCTTTCTTTTGACTCTTACTCCCTAAAGTTCCTGCACTTCGTCCCAGACAGTACTTTGTGTGTAGAGATGTGGGTACACAGGCATTGTATTTGTCTTAGAATATCACAAAGAAAAACTACCGCTCTGTTGCTTCTGGTGCATTCAGATGGCTCCGCTGCCCTCTTGCCCGCTCTTCCCCTTTTGTCCCTTCATGCTTCCCTCCAGCTGATATCACAGGGCAGTATGTAGCATAGTATAGAAGGAAGGTTATAGGTAACTCGGTTATTTCCAGAAATGTTATTATCTTGGAGTAAGGGAAAGCACCCATCCTAAACACAGAACTGAGCAACTATTGCACAGCCCTAAAGATCTTCCATATCTATAACACTAAAGCCTCATTATACAATATAACAGCAGATATTAGTGTTACAGCTACTTTGTCAAAGCCTTGACTTTCTATTTTGTTATCTCCAAGGTCAGTATGCTACTGTGGATGGGGAAAGGTCTGATGACCTTCTATTACCCCCCTAGTAGAGGATGGAGTCACATCTAACC